TGCAAAAATTGCATGGTCCCCGACTAAAGTTACATTTGAGATTCGCGTGTTCCATATCATTCTTAACTATACTCAAGATTGACATGTCGGTTAACCACACGAGCTCCATCAACAGAATATAAAAAGAATGTGCATTTTTCGTGGATAACTTAAGATTAAAATTCTATTAATAAAATCGGATTTTGTTTTATACTTGTATTTAGAATACTTTTAGATTGACCATTATAACTATCACACCCTTTCGGTAACTCCATTATCAAAATGTAATAGGGCAGTGAGGATGGTAAGCACGAAGCATATTAAAAACCGACCTCATTATGAATCATAGAAACCCCCATAAACCCCTACATTAGAATGGGTGAGCCTAGTCATAGTAAGACTGATAATGCAAATATTTAAAACATACAAGGGCGCATGTTTGAAATTTCCTATATATATATATATATATATATATATATATATATATATATATATATATATATATATATATATATATATATATATATATATATATATATTAGTCGTTACCCACGCAAAGCAACAGCGCGACCAATATATATATATATATATATATATATATATATATATATATATATATATATATATATATATATATATATATATTAGTCGTTACCCGCGCAAAGCAACAACGCGACCAAGATATTCCTTTCGGAAACATGTCATTCTATGAGAAACACAATGAACTGAAAAATACTTATTTTATGTGTGAGCACAATTCACGTTCTTTTGTTTTTTGTATTTATGTTGTTTAGAAAATTTAGTTTTTTTTTTTTTTTTTTTGCATTTATATCTTTCATTAACAATTTTGTTAATAAAGTCATAAGTTTTCAAAGTTTGGACAATAATGACTTTGAAAAAATCTTAGTCATGAATTGAAAATTCAGGTATATTCAGACGTAAATCAAATATAGGACAATCATTTATGTTTAAACGTGTTAACATATAACATAAAAAATACTCACTTGATTTTAATTATAGAAAAAAAAAAGAGTAAAAAAAATCTTCCAAATGTCTCTTAGCTGCAGAAGTGCTTAGTAGATGATTCCGCAGTCGTGCCTTTGGAGGATATTCAGGTGGATAGCCGCCTGAACTACATTGAGAGACCAATGATGATCTTAGACCGGAAGGCGAAAACCTTGAGTAACAAGGTTGTGAAGCTAGTAAAGGTGCAGTGGCTGCCCCGCAAGGGGTCGAAGTGGACATGGGAGCCCGAAGAGGAGATGAGGGATCATTATCCAGTATTAATTGAGGCAGCGGATTTCAAGGACAAAGTCTGAGACAAGTGGGGGAGAATTTTAACGTCTGGTTCCTGGACTTGGAAGAACTTGAAGGTCATTGAGCTTGAGGGGAGGCACTAGATCTGGAATCTTGTTGTCTTTGGTAACTTTCTGAGGTATAAAGGCTCAAACTTGATGCTTAATAGCATAGATCTCCATCTCTAGAGTTCTTTGCTTGTTTTTGGCCCAAATGATATGATTCTTGAGAGTTGGACGTCCTAATTGGAAAGCACTTCAGAGCCAGGGTCTAAGGGACTTTCATGGCATAAAGGTGCTAACTTTACGTGACCATTCAATGTCTACGGTCCAGGTCTATATTATTATGAACTATCTTGAAGTTTTGATGGCTTTGGGATTTTTAGATCTAAGCCATTTTGGATTAGGGTTTAGGCTTTAGGCCTTAGGAGAGGTTCTTAATGGTTAAAGTTGGAAACTTTACCCTTCTAGATGTATTCCCAGCTTAGATCCAGAAGATAAGGCTTTGGTTGGAAGAATAGCGACTTAATGCTTTAAGAAGGGACAAACAGACGGAGGAACTTCGACGAGTCCATGGAGGAACTCGACGAGTTGATTTGAAATGTCCTGATTCTATAAAAAATGAAGAAGTCACCGAGTTGGGGGAAAACTCGAAGAGTTGACTCAGGATATCGCAATTCTGTGATTTATGGAAACTCGCCGAGTTGAAGGATAACTTGACGAGTTGAGTCAAATCAGAGTATTGACTTTGACTTTGACTTTGACCTGAGTGTTGACTTTAACTTTTACTTTGACCTTGACCAAAGTTGATCCTTGAAGGGTTATGAGTATGAAAGGGTACTTAAGGAAATGTTTTATGTTTAAGGGAATGAGTTGGGTTGATATTCGAAGCTGGGGAACGTTAAGCTAATTCCAATATTCGAGGTGAGTTGCCTTCGCGGTAGCAGTGAGTCTAAGGCACCAAGGCCAGCCCACTAGTAGTTGTTATTATTTAGATGATTGTCAATGTAATAATTCTCTGGTATGGTTTATGTGCTAGTATGCTATGATATTATGTGGTAGTGGTAGGGGTGAAATAGACCACGTTTCCACTCGATAAGACCGAAGGGGAGGCTAACACCCAGATATGCTCGACAACATCCGGTCTGTAAGACTGAAGGGGAGTCCAGCACCGAAATATGATTGGCAGTATCCGATCGAATAGACTGAAGGGGAGGCCAGCACCTAGATATGCTCGACAGTATCCGACCGGGCTAGACCGAAGGGTTAGGTCGGGCACCTAGATATGCTTGACAGTATGTAGTTATGTGGTATGATGGGGTAACTCACTAAGTTTCATGCTTACAGTTTACATTTTTGGTTTCAGGTACTTCTTCTTCGAGAGGAAAGGAGTCAGCATGATCGCAGCACATCACACTATGATTTTCCGCATGACCAGATCTTTGGGAGTTGTACTATGATATTATCTTCTATGACATGATTTGATGTTTTTCATACTGATTGGTATTTGATATGGGATGACACTATTGATGTTTTCAGACTATTGGTTTCATAATTACTTAATTAAAAATGAAATTTTTTGTTCTAAATTTTGGGATGTTACAGCGTCCCACCTTCTAGAAGTTCCCCGTGCACATTGCACGCTTCACAAAATGCAGATTTTGTGAATTCCATGTCTTCTTCATACGAGCTCCGTTTTCGGCGTTCTTTATATCCACACATAGCTATTGACGAGATCTACAACTTTCATTTAGACTCCATCGGCTAACTATCAATTTATTTTTAAAGTTATGTTTTTATAGGCTTAAGTTGTTAATGTTCATATAAAAATCATAACTCTTCAATACAACATCCATTCTACACTGTCATTATATCGATGGATAGGTATTGGCGAGATTTTCGACTATTGTTTAGATTGTTTTTTCTAACAATCGATCGATTTAAATTTCGGTTTCCGTGCTAACATAGTTGCACTGAATACTTAAAAAAAATTATATACTACTAGAAAAACAGCCTTTTACGACGCTCATTGCGCGTCGTCAAACGCTCAGACGACGCACAAATGCGCGTCAAGGAAGGCCCTGTCATAAAGAGACACGACGCGCATTTACGACGCGAGGTTATGACACACAATGTGTATCAAAAAAGGCCCTGTCATAAAGGAAGACAACACGCATTTGTGTGTCGTAACCTTACGACGCGCGTGTTTATGACACGCAATGCGTATCAAGGAAGCCCCTGTCAAGAAAGGCCATGTCATAGATGAAGACGACACACATTTTTGCGTATCATAATTTTAATTTTTTTATAAAAAAATTATTTATAGATTTACTAATTTTCAAATTAAATTTGCATTTCATGTCTAATAATAGAAAATAAAATACCATATACAAAAAATAAAGTATCATATACAAAAAATATAATACATTGTAATACATTGATATTAAAGGGATCTGATTGTACATTGTTATTAAGAGGTTTTCCCTAACTATATAACCTAATACTACATTACTATAAAGGGCACCTTCTTTTTTAAGTAACTCATCATTAAGCGATCATAAGAAGCTCTGAAACCCTTCATGTATCCAACCAATGATCATGTCTATTAGCTTAAATATGAATCCCAACTCTTAATGAAGAACAACACGGAAATCCTACACAATAATCATGTCAGTTATACAATATCAATATCAACTAATTAATAATACACATGGTATGTATGTAAGAGAGTGGAATCAAAATGATCTACCAATAAGAGATTTGTATTGCCTTGAATCAAAGTATTTTTGATGGCCTCAAGGACAGTTCCCAAAGGATACTCCTTACCTGTGCCATCTTCCTTTTGAATTTGCAAGAGTGCATGGCAGTTCAAATCAGAAAAGAAAACCAAGCAAACCATTGCACTTTTATCCTTGTTCATGTTAAAAAATTCCTTTCTATACATATACATATCTAGAGAGTGACAATTAATTAGCAGAAAACATACCACCAGACCTGGAAGGCTACCCTGGCACATAACTAATTGATATTATGCACGACTTGAATTCCATAATGGAGATGAGTAATTGAAGGGAACCAATAGTATATAAACAACTCAAGACAGAAAACTTACCGTTGACGTGACAAAATATAATAAACTAAAGTGCCATATGCTTTAAGAAAGATTTGTAAAAACCTAATCATTGGTTCAAAAACAAAATATATTGAACAAAATTCATTTCATTTGATCACGAAATGAAAAGGGTCAGCAACATAAATACTTAGGAACCCATAATTAATTAGAGCTGATGATGGATTTTATCAACAAATTGTGAGCTTTCAGTTTCACACCTATTATGAACAACAAAAATGAAATCAGGAAGATATAATATTTACAAATATAATCAATAACGAAAGAAAAGTAAAAACCTTTCTAAAGTACAAGTCCTATCAGACTTTGAATGTTTCAAGACTGCAGCAGCTACAAGAGGTACACTATGTGTTTAGCGATTTCTTTATGTTCATGTTGTTGTTAAAATACTATTGTTAGCATGTGCTACTGCTGCTTCTTTATCTGCTTGTGGTTTCTCTGTTTATTTTCTGCTTTTTTCTTCAACAATAATACTTCCTTTATCATCAGTTTCTAGCAGTTTACTTTCTTTATTGATTAGGGATTCAGATTGGACAACTTCATCACCAAGGAAAAACAGTTAAACGTTAAATACTAATATAAAAAGAACAACAACATTAAGAATACTTGGTAAATAAAACTTGCAGCATAAACATCGACCTAGATTCAATGTTGCTTGTGGAATGTTTGCCAATAGTAGTAGCCTTCGAATTGGATGCTTCCTGTAACAGAGAAAAGTTAACATTCCAAAGTTTAGATAATATATATATATATATATATATATATATATATATATATATATATATATACGTATGTATGTATGTATGTATCCTTACATTATTGGCAAATGAAGTTGAATCTACATCATGGTCCCTGATATCTTGAATTTCGTCATCATCTTGCACCTCCATTGAATATGAACAATTGAACATTTCAGTTATAGTCGATTATTTAACAGTTACCATATAAAGGATGTAAATTTGAAAAAGAAAAAACAAGATCTATGATAATTAAGATGAATACCAAGGATGCTTTGAATTTTAAATCTTCAAGGTCAAAATTCCAAGCACCAACACCTCGCTGATACTCACTCTATTTATAATCATTAACAAGAAAAAAGAATTAGACACACAAAAACTATAATTAGAAAAGAAAATAAAAAAACAAAAATGCTTCTTGTAACCATTGATATGGTTTCTTGCTCAGCTGAAGGCATCTTTTTAAGTGCTAGTTGGGCAGCATCTTTTGGCTGCATATAGATATTTATGAATTATATATAAATAAATGTGAAAATATAGTTTTATAAATTATACGGTGGATGCATACCTGGGGGGGCTTTTACACGATGCCAAAGTCGTGGCAAGTCACCAAATAATTTCTTGGCGGAGAATTATGGAGATTTAGCTTTCTTAAAAAAAGAAAGGTTTAACAACTTCTCAACATTGCCACCATTTCTTTAAAATACTGTTTTTTCACAATTGGGCCCTACTGTAAGGCTTTGGAAGAAAGCCTCTTCAGATGCAAGTGCATCATGTATTCCACGATTAAGCTTAATATCCTGTGAACATAGAAATGATGTTAGAAGATTGTATACTATTCACAACCTTTCTCAAATCATGTATTCCATGATTAAGCTTACTATGTTTTCAGAATTCAGATATATGAGGATTTGTTGTTTCAAGCACTAAGGAGATGACAGCTGGATCTGCTTCTGTTTGGTGATTTGATATCAAAATCACATATTCTCCCTGATGGTTTATTAATAATTATTAGGACTTGAACTAATCATATTCATATAATATAGAATAATAGAAACAAGTATGGGAATGAGAATGAGGAACCTAATTAAGTTGTTGTTCTATTTTAGTGAAAATGGGGAGTAAGTGGGCCCCCATTTCAGCTATGACTTCATAGCTCTGATCCACATTGACTTCTGGTTGGACATTCCTTAGACGAGAACTTACCCTTGTCATGGTTGTTTCCATTTGAGCAACATGAACAGATCCACCAATTTTTTCAGGCAGAGTGAGTGGGCCCCTGTTTTCTGCTATTTTTTCACAATAACTCACCAATGCGATGTCCATTTGTGATAGCATTACATGCACCTATAACCCCAGAAACACTTCAATCACGCCAAAACTTTGATCTTTTGTATGTGCAGAGGACATAAGTTCTCTTGTCATCAAGAGTAGTCTTAGAAAGCTTTGTAATTAAGTAAAAGAAAATGGGCCAAAGTAATTCCTTTTCATATCTTTATAGTGTTATCACAGGTCGCAAATTGTTAACATTTCTGTAAATTAAAGAAAAGCTTCAAAAGCCAAGCTTCAATTTTCAGTGGGCCATCTTGAAAGACAATCATGAAACAGAATATTACCTCAAATTTAGCTCATCTTTCCTCATCTTTAAGTTTAGCTCAGAAGCCATATGTCGCAAGACACAAGTCCTAATTTTTATAACAAATTAATTCCAAATCAAATAAATTAATTTGATCAGAATGTTAAAGAAGTACAAAAAGTGAAGCTGAAATTAATAAAATTGATAATATATACTATTATTTATACTTACAAGAGCCTTCCAAAAGCATCAATTATGTGGTTCCCACCTCCACCACCACCACAGTTGTTAATGGAACCCTTGATTGATCGAGGTTAGTTATCTAAATTTGATGAGTAGAGACTTGGAAGTGTAATGTCAGTGCATCCCATCTACTTCAGTAGCAGGGTACGAGGTTGCACCGTGTGAACTCAGGGATGGGGTCTGCAAGTCCAGTAAAGCTAACGCCACCCAGAGGCATATAAAAGTCAAACAAAAATATTTAAAATGTCATATATATGTAGGTTGTACTAAATTTAAGGAAATACAAGAGATTTATAATTATTAATCACAATGCATGGTACTTATAACTCCAACTAAAAGTATCCATGAGATTTCTCCCACTGAACACATTTACTAATTCTTGGTTATGAGTACTATCAGACATCACCTAAACTCAAAACGAAATTGGTATTAATGTTAGTAAACAAATGAAGTTAAATCTAGATTTCACAAGTTTAACCATTCATCCTAAACAACAGTTCTCATCAAATATTTGAAGAAAGTTTCTTGTCATTTTTTCCATTAACCATTTGCATAACTCTCTTACTAAAGATATAATAATATTATTAAAAAAAGCTCACCTGCCCAAGCATTACACTGTTGCCAGATAAACATTAAAATGAAGTCGATTTTCTACTACTCATGTCACAAGAGAATGATTTCCAGCCAAACATTACACTGTTGCCAAATCAACATGACAATGATGTCGATTTTCTACTAGTCCTGTCACAAGAGAATGATTTCCAGCCAAAACTTCAAAGGATGAAGGGACTATTATACCCTTTGGAAGCAAAGCCTCTAAAATCTGCAGTTTTTGGATAAAGAAACATGGTTCAAAACATTCCAAGATATAAACTTTATTAAGGAAGTCACATTGAAACCTATAGTTTAGTATCGGGTAAAGAGAGGGGCAGAATAGTAAATTTAGTCAGGAGTTTTAATGGCTACAAACAATGGTCAACGGATACCTCATTCGTTTACTAATAACTGTAATACAAAGTCAGCTTGCATCTCACAAGTTCAAATGGTGATCTTATTAAGCATGCCTGAAGAAAACAGATGATAAAACACATATAATAAGCTCATGAATCAGGAAAAGACAAGTTGGAATTAATACCTTAATTGCCTTAGGCATTTCATCAAATGACTTATAGGCGGTCGAGGTTTGGATAGGCTATCACTTGCGGATCGATGATGGCTACTGCCCATAGGACTACCAGATAAACACTGAAAACATAAACATAAACACAGGAGATTTAATATTCAAAATTTCATATGTCTGTCGAACTAGATTACTCACCCTCTCGGGAGCATGAGAGCTTAGCAACGAGGCAATAACTCTTGTTATCTTCTCTATCCAATCCATCTGATCAAGGTCGTGATCCCCTTATTTGCTGAACGGATGAAGAAAAAGCACCAAGGCTAGAAGCACAACTGGACTAGGGTTTGTAAATTTGAGGATTCGTTGTAGATGGAGAAGGGTAGAGGTGAAGAGGAGTTCAGTTACCAATTTTATGTTGAGATTATTGTGTCTAAATTTCGCCATAAAGATACGATCAAGAGAGAATGGTTTTCGATTTCTGGAAGGAAGCGAGGGTGTTACAGAGAGGGGGGATTAGACTCGCATGGAGATCTAAGGAGAGAGTGAGCGGTCTGCGATCTGATCGAGAGAGAATCGTCGCCATAAAGATACGATCGAGGAAAATCGTCTTGAGAGGGGAAGTTATTTGTGAAGAACTTGAAGCATTTGAAACCCTAGACCTTGATTCGATGTAACTTGATAGTGGCCATTGTAGATTGATAGATTGAAGACCTGGAGTGATCCCTTGTGAAGAAAGTTGCGCGATTACAGAGAGTCCTTGTTGACCGGATCCAAAGATTCCATCAATGGCTCTATCGGGATTGGTTAAATCCCTAGTTTGGAATGTGCTACATATGGTTCATGAACTTGCCAAGTCAATTAGGGTTTTTTTAATGAAAAATGAAAGGGGTTAATGGATTAGGATGATTTCGTACTTGAGAACAAAAAGAAAAAGAAGGAGACCTCGCAGATCAATTACGATTCACCTTCGAGCTTTACAGAGAGACGGGAGGTAGAGAATGAAGGGAGATCTAGAGGAGAGAGTATCAGAGAGGGGAGAGTGGATTGCAAGGATGAAAAATAGATAGAAGATAGAAAAAACAAGGCAGGTTTTCTAAATTTTGGGGATTTCGTTTCCCCCTTCATTAACTAAAAGCGCGTTTCATTAAAATTATAAAGTGACATGTACAGACGACGCGCGTTTAAGATTAAGCGCCCTACATGTTTCTAATTTTTTTTCGTGAGACACTAAATTAAGGGCACGCGATAATGCGTGACGTAAATCCTTAATTTTTTTGGAGAGATAACTCTATTTTAAGGGAACGTCCTTTTGCGTATCGTTAATCAGCGCGTGTCGTAAAAAGCGCGTCATTAAAGGTCTATTTTCTAGTAGCATGTGTCTTTATCATTTGTTGAATACATTAACTTACGCTTGTCTAGTCTTTCCAGACTTGACTAGAACATCTATTAGTAAGCAGACATTGATCTTAAGAATTCATTCAAGGTTTGTGTTTTCAAACCTTGTCCCTGCGCATTAATCTTGTTCTCACAGAAAGAAAAAAACTTAGTGACCAAATGTGTACAAATCAAAAAGTATATTACCCTTTTAAGTCATTATCCCATCACAAAACACTAAGTAAGAGGTATATTGATAGCTTTATTTAGACTAAATGTCTCATTTATAGCAAGGTGAGACTAAAAATCAACCTTTAAGGATCTTAAAACATTAAGGATTGCATTTTTGAAATTAAGACCAAATGTGCGAATTTAATAACACCTAGACTATTTCCATGATTTAATTTAAGAATGTTTTTTTAAAGAAAGTATTAATGAGATATACGACAAAACAAAAAAATTAGGTAACTCATGTTTTTTTTTCTCGAACGGAAGAGATTGTATAGAACCAAAACTATCAAGAAGCTAGATGGGATAAAATAAAAATATTACATAATAGCAAGTTGCGGATTTTGCTGCCATCCAACCCAATTAATTTTTATTTTAGACCTACTGTTACACAATAAAAATGACTAAGTAACAATGTTATCAAAAACCACTGAAGGTGTCATTTTAGAAACTCCAAACAACAACGCCTTCGTGAAACTTCAAATATGCCACCAAGCCATAGAAAATACCTTCCAAGAACTCTTTCACGGTGCCCGATAAACGAAGATTCTTGAACCACTCCAATCAACTCCATACGAAGAAATATTAGGAACCATAACCCTCCACAATCTACTAATTTGAATAAAAATACTAGAAGTTAAGGAGCACCCAAAAAACAGATGAGAAACCGACTTAATCTCCAAATCACAAAGAGGACATAAAATAGAAGGCACATCAACATCTCAATTATCAAGAATGAATCTAGTAGGAAGCATATCAAGGGCAAAACTCCAAGAAAAAACATTAATTTTTGTAGGGATAATACGAATCCACCTCGTTGGAAGAGATGAAACCGGAAGTAGCTTTTCATCAATATAAGCCCTTGCCAAAGCTACAAAAAAAATCACCATTCCACGATAAGGATCAGAACTGCCTATCTAAAACATCAAAAAGAAAAACATTCTCAAGTAACAACAACAAATTTTCCTAGTAGGTAGCCTCAACTCTCCCTTTAGATGACATTAAAGAAAGGACATCAAAGTGTCATACTCAAATTTCGACTTGACATCAATATGAGTTGAATTTTCCAAATTTAAAACTCTCGGGAATTGTTAGTTAAGAGGAACACCCCCAAACAAGGATCTTCCCAAAACCGAGTAGAATCACTATCCCCTATTTTTTATGCACAACTAAATCAAATTAACTCCCAAACTGCTCAAGTGTTAAACACCTTTAAGAATATCCCAAATGTAGACTTCTTATGAGAAGATCAAGAGCCATATATGCAACCAAAATTGCCATCGATTGATTTAATCACAAAACCCACAAACCCATAGGTGTAGAGAAGAAGCGCCAAATATATTTAAAAAGAAGAGCACGATTTAGAGCAAACAAACTACTAACTCCTAACCATCCAAATCGCTTCCGAGCAGTGACCTTCTTCCAACTAACTAGGGACAGTTTTTTCATCCAAGTCTATAACATCCTCTTTGATGAAATTTCTTAATTCAGGATTTGGGGACTGTAATGTGACCATGTAAAGGCCTTAGGCTTCAATGAAATGGAGTTTAGACTCTATTGGCGGTGTATGATGCTAGATAAGTGATCTAACCCTTAGATTGTTCGTTGGAAGTTAAGGGGTAAAAATGGAAAAATTATGTTTCAGGCTTCTTGCATAAATTAAGGATTTTAGTTAAAGATGTTTTTAGTCATATGTATCAAGATAGAATTATAGAGCTCGTTGATAACTTTCCGTGGATATAAATATCATTGAAAACGGAGTTGGGATGCTTAAGTTATGACCATTGGAAGTAAGGAAGGAAATGGGTTTTAGACAGTTGGTTGGGCATATTGCATGAAAGTGGCACGGTTGTCCTTTGAGTATGTTGTGCATACATAATGGTATGAAAGGAATACTTACATGACTATTGAACCCAATTTTTAGGGTTTGGATGTCACACCCCCAAACCAGAATGGCGGAAACATCCGGGGGTGAGTGACTTCACGTAGTACCATAACAGTTGAATATTGTAAAGAAAGTAACACAACCATTAGAAGTATAATAAAAACTTAGATTTTTGTGTGTATTACATGTTTCAAAAGAATATTACAAATATGATGATTCAATATATTTTAATAATAGACGCCTTAGCGTTCCTTCTCCAAAAGCTGATAGTTACCTGTATTACTGATTCCCTGAGAAATACAAGTAGTTTTGAAAAGGTATCAACAATTAAGTTTGTGAGTTCATAAGCGCTTTTATACTGAAATTTGTATGCCTTTAGTAAAAATAACCGAACGTGTTTCCCAGAAAATCCAATATTTTCTACATATAGTTTGAAAAGTTCCAAAGGTTTTGAGTGCAATAGTATCTTTCGTGCTAAAATGGTCAAGTTGTATTTATACTCAAATAATGTATTTACTGAATGCATTCAAAAGTCTCGTAAATCAAACTTATTTTAATACTTCCGTGTGAGTGTTATAACCATGCTATTGAGCCAGACTGTCTGTAACAACGTTCTTCAGGCGTTGTAGTGTTATGACATCTGTCACTCCAGACCTTCCGGTCTAACTGTAGCTAACAGTTTAGGTGCAGGATTGTCAATCCCGTATAGATCTATACACAAGTTTCACGCTCTCCCTCCAAGAGATTATGGTTTATAATACAGGACTTGAAATGCATACTTGTGAGTATGTTGAAGTTGAATGTCTCACAACACTTAGTATTAATAGATTTACGAAAGGAAAAGTCTATATTTCATGTAGATGAAAGTATTTCATTTTTCACTATGCTACACTCTGACTCATCCCTAAACTCAACCTTGGTCATATACAAGTTTAGAACACTTAAATGAACCCTTAAATAGCACCAGAAAGCAACAAAACAAGTTGATTATTGATTGAATTGACTAAATTTACAAGACAGAAGTTTCGGGTTGTTACAGGGTCAGATCTGAAGTTAGGGTAAAGTGTCTTAACGATTAAAAGCTTAAAAGTTAAGTTTGGGTTTGGGTCGTGTACGCTGAGCGCAAATATGACTAAGCCCAACGTAGTCAGTTAAGAACCCATTTTTCTGTCTTTGTACTCTACGCCCACCATAGATCTTGAGTACGCCGCGTGTAAGGTCAAAAATGTTGACCTTTGACTTTTTGACAAAGTGTACGTTTTTGTTCAATTTGTGAGGGTTTTGGTCTTGGAAGGGGCAAAATGGTCTTTTGCCTAAATTATGGATTAGACATGGCTTGGGACTAGCTGAGTATGGAAAATTACCTTAATTGTTAATTAGGGTTATTTGGTGTAAATAATAGGTGGAGTCTAGTTGTGGCAGTTCAGGTGTGAGTTCTATCAGTCAGCTGTGCAAGGTGAGTCTCTTCACTATTCTTACCTATCTGGTAGAATATATATGTGTTGACCAACCGGGTCTATTTGTTGTTACTATGATATGTGTTACTGTGTGTACTGAGACTTTAGGTAGTCTCCAGGATTACTGATAATCCACAGGGCGTGATGTTTGTCCACTAAGACTTCGGGTAGTCTCTAGGATTCCTGATAACCTATAGATATTATTTGTGTTGTGTTGAATGTGGTATCTTGGAAAAAACTCACTAAGATTTGTGGTGACGGTTTATGGTTTAAATGTTTTCAGGTTTTCTTATATTAAAGGAGAGGCATACCTCGATTAC